AGCCAGTGTTCAAAACTATCGCCTTACTTTAGCCCGATTCACAACCGTTAGCTTATAATAATGTTTTCTAATTTGAGTGTTATGGATAGGTTTTCGCGGGAAATTCGAGCATGCAGCTGCGTCATTACGTCACGTCTGTAAACATAAAGAAGTTGTCCTGGCTACTAGGCTATCGCATGTGAGGATCCTGCAGGTGGCGGATCGTTTATAGCAGCTGGAATAATTAAATGTATCATTTTGTTGGTGGATTGTAGTCCAGAAAGGATTATGTGTTTATGAAACACATGTGAATGAAATTAAATTATATTCCAGTTTTAAATGTACTTCTGATTACAGATACCCTTGGATTACACAAGATTTGTATTTTAAAGACAACCAGTTCAAAGGGAGCATAATTTGCTTTTTGGGTTAAAATAATTTCTTAATATGAAATTCGAGTGGTATGACAATTTGAGATTAGACTGTACAGAAATTGAAATCGACTCGCTTATACACACTATACTCATAGTCACGCAATGCTGATGTTGTTAACATTAACAATTTGAGAATAAAGTATAACAATAATAATAGTTTGCACGGTTTGATGTGATATGAGCTAAGTGATTGTTAGATTAAATCACCATTGGTAGCGCGATTTATTGTAATGCTTTTTTCCTCAGTTGGTCAGAACAAAAGTGGCGGACTTATTACTTGTTCAGATGACAATATCCGGTGAAAATGTTTATTTGGGTCATATATTCCAAGACGTAGGCTAGAATCTGTGAGTGCAAAGTACAATATCCACACCCGTGCGGTGACTGACAGCTACACATTCACCTCAAAACATTAGATTCATCCGCGCTGGAGCCGTGCCGCCACACAACCTACACAAGGAAGATAATTCCGCACACAGCTGCAATTGCAGGTTTTCAAACAGAGATGGCGATAGAGAGGCAAAACTTACAGACTGCAGCTTTAAATTATAGAAGACTTCAAAATTAAATTTTTTACCTAAAGACCTGCATACATGCTGATGAGATGACTGTCCTGCATGTGTCATAAATCTTTATTCAACAATTTCTTCTCTTCTGTGCCAGTCGACGTGCGTTCACAAGAGTACCACGATGTATGCGTGAATCCGGATGCGCTGTGCCTTGTTTTCAAGTAGAGGAATGCACATGCCTGTGCCGTGGTACACTCGTGAACGCGCGTCGAAGACTGACACGGAAGAGAAGAAATTGTTGAATTAAGTTGCTATTTTTGTTTTCTTTGCGCACAAAAAGTATTCTCTTAATTTCATAACATTACGGTTGAACCACTGATGTCACATGGACTATTATATCGATGTCCTTGCTACCTTTCTGGGCCTTGAACTTGTCAGTTGCGTTACTGTGAATGCAGGGTCAGAAAGCTCTCAGATTTCATCAAAAATATCTTAATTGGTGTTCCGAAGATGCGCGAAGGTCTTTTGGGTTAGGAACGACATGAGTGTGAGTAATTAATGACAGCGTTTTCATTTTTTGGTGAACTATCCCTTTAATATCACACATTGAGGTTTTCTGTTACTGTTTTTACTGTAGCCTATTTTTGATCAAATAAATGCAGTCTTGCTAAGCATTATTTCAAAAATATTAAAAAATCGTACCCATTCCAAACCTCTGAATGGTAATGTTTGTGTACATTTTATTATCAATACAGTATCTTAAATGAAAAAAAAGGTATTAGGATCTGCATAAATGGTGTCCTGAACATTGTCTATTAATTGCACATAATTTCATGCTCTCATTTTGACTTTGTCAGGTTCAAGGTTCACGGTATTACAGCAAACACACTATTGCAAAGTTCTGTCACCTTCCTCCTGAAGATCCTCTAGTTACCTCCCCCCCTCCACCCGAGCCTCCACCTCCTCCACCATACGGCCGCGGGCCCGCCTCCTATCGAAATCGTCGTTACCACCGGAACTCATCGCGTTCGCAGACCCAGACCCTTCCGTCTCCAGTCACACACACCTCCAGGACGTCTCCACCTACACTGTGTGATCAAGATGGTCACATGGAGAGGCTCCAGAGGGATGTGGAGCTCTTACGGGCGAGATGGACAGGCCACCGCACACAGTCCCTCTTTTCTCTGCCTACAGACGAGTCCCGCTCCTCGTGTGCCTCTCCGTCAAGCTTCCGTCCTCGCTGCTTCTCTTCCATGGCTGCTCCCATTTTCCGTGTCAATGTGGATACGCTAGTGGGAGCCGAAGAGACGGATGTAGACACAGGAAAAACCATCAGCGGCAGCTCTGTGGACCTGTCGGTGGTCTCAGGTTATTCCCATCCACAGCTGAGGCCCCATTTAAAGGCCCCAGCACCGCGGCCCAAGTCTGCTCCTCCAACAGATGGAGGTCTTGACTTTGCTGATCTGACCTATAATAATACCTCCCAAATAAGACAGACTCCTGTGCCATCTAGAACACAGAGCATCATTGCAAAATCCACACCTTGTGTAGTACACAAACCACAGCCAAAGAATGTGAAAGATGTGTTGCAA